AAACAAGGAGGACAGTAAAGTTACCTTTATTTCATGGCCCTGAAAACTAAGATCACAACACTCTTCCTTTCATTTTACAAGTAACAATTTCTTAGCGCTGACAGAGATCAATCCAATAACTGATGGAATTTTTTTAAATTAATGATGATGCCTCTAAAAAATTTTTTTGACTGATGGATTATTTTTAACCAGAGGCAAGCTCATATCTGAGATTTTATGGAAAATAGGCTTTTGGTATAATTCCTGGGTACCACCGATTCAAGCAAATTTCCTATACATTCGACATCCACAGACCTAGAAAAAGAAGTGCAGCAAGTTCATTTTCCTTAAGATTGTTAATAATCATAGCAGGATGGTTATGTACACCCTGGTATCTAAGTACTGGGGCAGAGAAAGAACTATGATGGCTACAGATCTTTCAGAAAAGTTCTGGGAGACAGAAAGAAAACATTTCCCAGTGCAGATCACTTGATAAAAATGAGTCGGGAATGGAACTAAAGCTGTAACTGGTACAGCAGGTGCAGGCTCTTATGTTAGCTGAAAGAGGGGGATGTTTGGTTACTTAGAATTTGCACAGTGTTCTTGTTTTTTTCTGTTCTTAGATGTGATGACAGAATGGTCACATTTTTGTCTTGCTCCATCCAGCAGTCACAGAACAAACTTGTCTGATGATGTTCTCTGAAGATATTTATGTTAAGTAGGGAACACCTGGGCCTATGTGCCAGTTACAGACTAGCGCCTCTATGACACCTGTAAGGGGTTGCATTTTTCTTTCTCATAAAAAAAAAAAAAAAAAAAAAAAGCTCCTGTAAGTCAATAATAAAATAAAAACTTGATGAAAAATTAGAAGAATTTGAACAATTCACAAAAGAATAAAAATGAATAAACACATGAAAAGATGTTCAACTGCACCAATGGAGAAGTGCGAATTAAAACAGTCATACATTGTTGGTAGTAATTTAAATTGGTACAGCTTTTTTGGAGGGACATTTGGTAATATATACCAAAATATTAACTGCATATACCCTTCAACCAGGAATTCCATTTCTAGAAATCTTTTCCAAAGAATTATATGCACATGTACAAAAAGAAGATATTCATTGTAGCATGTTTGTTACAGTAAAAACCAGAAAAAACTAAAGGAAATAATTAAACAAACTCTGGAATTTAAAAGAAAAAAAAGATTCAGGAAACCCCAGACGAGGACTGCATTCATCGGCCTGCACTGAACAGCTGACTAGGCAAAAACTAAAGCCCCAAAAGAGCCACAGTAATTTGATGTGTTCAGTATTTTTTTTAAAAAAAAGATTTCTTTAAGAAAATTTAAGTTGAAATTGTGTTTTTCACAGAAGCTTCACCTCAATGGCAGAACCATGAAGAATGTGAGCTCAACTTGAGCTGCTGAACACAGCAGCCACTAGTCAGCTGTGGCTTTTGAGCACTGAAATAAAGCTCATCCAACCTGAGATGTTCTCTGAGTGCAAAAGACACCCAGATTTCAGAGAATTAGTACAGTATAAAAGGTTGCGAAATATCTCATGAATAAGTTTTTATCAATTACATGTAGAAATGACAAAAATTTGCATATACTGGGTTAAACAAAACATATTCATAAAATTAATTTCATGTTTCCAAAAGTAATAACGTTTTTACCGTGGCTATTAGAAAAGGTAAAATTACATTATGTTGCTTGCATTACAATTCAACTCCAACGACATCAACTTCTCCTCTCTCTGCATTTCTTCATCTGTAAAATGGAGCTTACAAGACTACACTCATAGAATTATTTTAAGAATTGAATGATATGTTTTAAATAGTCATTTCATAATGCCTAGAATATACCAACTAGTTGAAAAACATCAGCCACCATTTTCATTATTTATTAATATAAATGTTCACCTTACAAAAACACAATGGCTTTTTTAGTTGAGTTAACTTCACAACCAANGACACTGAGGGTTGCGATCCGTTGCCGGACACGAAAAAAGACAAAAAGGAAAAAAAACAAACAAACAAACAAAAAAAGATTTCATTAAGAAAATTTAAGTTGAAATTGTGTTTTTCACAGAAGCTTCACTTCAATGGCAGAACAATGAAGAATGTGAGCTCAACTTGAGCTGCTGAACACAGCAGCCACTGGTCAGCATGGCTTTTGAGCACTGAAATAAAGCTCATCCAACCTGAGACGTTTTCTGAGTTCAAAAGACACACCAGACTTCAGAGAATTAGTACAGTATAAAAGGTTGTGAAATATCTCATGAATAAGTTTTTATCAATTACATGTAGAAATGACAAAAATTTGCATATACTGGGTTAAACAAAACATATTCATAAAATTAATTTCATGTTTCCAAAAGTAACTTTTTTACTATGGCTATTAGAAAAGGTAAAATTACATTATGTTGCTTGCATTAAATTCAACTCCAACGACATCAACTTCTCCTCTCTCGGCATTTCTTCATCTGTAAAATGGAGCTTACAAGACTACACTCATAGAATTATTTTAAGAATTGAATGATATGTTTTAAATAGCCATTTCATAATGCCTAGAATATACCAACTAGTTGAAAAACATCAGCCACCATTTTCATTATTTATTAATATATTTATAAATGTTCACCTTACAAAAACACAATGGCTTTTTTAGTTGAGTTAACTTCACAACCAAAGTTAGATGTGCTCCCTACTGCTGTGAATAATGTATTTTTAGTATGCAAAGAGTAAATAGAATAAAAGCAGTTACCAGGACAGGCAAGGTGAGCTTCACAGGTGCAGGCAAGGAGGCCGAGTAGCGTCGAGCCTTCCTCACGGCAAACTTCTCAGTAGGGATAGATTTACCGGCAATTCTCTGCTTCAAGCCATCCACCTGTCTGTGAAGAACCCCAATCCCAGCGACATTTCATGAGAACACATACATTATTTACACCTGTGGTTTTCAGGCTGTGCTCCACAGAACAGCAGCAGCATCACCTGGGAACATGTTTGAAATGCAAATTTTCAGGCCCTAGCCCAGACCTACTGAACCAGCCACTCTATGGGTGGGACCCAGCAATCTGGAGTTTGATAAGTTCCCCCCAGTGATTCTAATACACACTAAGTTTAAGAACCACTGATTAACACATATTTCTTTCTAGTCAACTTAGCTAATGTCATAAATCTACCAAACACAGTCCAGGCAATCTATGTATAAAATTGACAATGTCCTGAAGAAATCAGGAAAGAGTCAAAACTATTTACTTACACTGTGGCTACTCAGAGAGAGGGAAGATGGTACACTGGTACATTTTCTGCTCTTATTTGCAAATACGAGTATGACACAGATCTATAAAATAATGTGGCTCAAAAGACAGCCATTCATTAATGTATAATTTGAGAAAATGTTTCCCAAGCATGGGTGATTTTGGAAATAATCAGCTCAGGACATGCACCATGTTTACAAACTTCTCCAAAAAGCCCCAACCCCAGCGACATTTCATGAGAACACATACATTATTTACACCTGTGGTTTTCAGGCTGTGCTCCACAGAACAGCAGCAGCATCACCTGGGAACATGTTTGAAATGCAAATTTTCAGGCCCTAGCCCAGACCTACTGAACCAGCCACTCTATGGGTGTACTGAACCAGCCACTCTATGGGTGGGACCCAGCAATCTGGAGTTTGATAAGTTCCCCCCAGTGATTCTAATACACACTAAGTTTAAGAACCACTGATTAACACATATTTCTTTCTAGTCAACTTAGCTAATGTCATAAATCTACCAAACACAGTCCAGGCAATCTATGTATAAAATTGACAATGTCCTGAAGAAATCAGGAAAGAGTCAAAACTATTTACTTACACTGTGGCTACTCAGAGAGAGGGAAGATGGTACACTGGTACATTTTCTGCTCTTATTTGCAAATACGAGTATGACACAGATCTATAAAATAATGTGGCTCAAAAGACAGCCATTCATTAATGTATAATTTGAGAAAATGTTTCCCAAGCATGGGTGATTTTGGAAATAATCAGCTCAGGACATGCACCATGTTTACAAACTTCTCCAAAAAAATTCTAAGGAATTCCAACATTAAAATTCACAAGCACATAAAAATGAGAGTACGATGGGGAGACTACATATTCCTGGGAGCACTCTCATGCAGAATTTTATGAATGCATCATACAAGTTACTGAGAAAGGATTCAAGGAAATATCCAATTACATCACTGAAAGAAAGAGTAAAATGAAATAACAGGAAAAAAAATCCAGTATGAGACAAGCTTGTGTTACGTTGTTTCTGGACACAATATGGGGCTATGGATTTTAAGCCAGAATTCCTCATCATTTGATGTTCTGTGTGAAGAGAACATTCATTGTTAGGACTCTCCTCTCAGTACTCGACAATTGAGATGCTGTGATAGAACAGACCTAAAGCTTTCTCCTGAAAATAAGACCGATTACATACAGGCCTCACAGGAATTGTTCTGATATGGAGAAAATGTAATCTGAAGTGGAGCAAATGTAGAGGGAGATTTAAGAGACTTTAACATACCTTAATATTCCATTCTATTAATTGTTATTCATGTGAAATGAGGAAATGTATTTTACAGTGAGAGGAGGCAATTATCACACCATGGCTTCTACTAATGTCAATTCTACAGTTAGAATACACCGTTCCATTTTTAAGAAGAGCTTTTAAAAGGGAATTGAAAAAATGGCCCTGGTCATACCTTCAAACTTGTTCTGTCTAGCCTGAGGTTTCAGCTAAGCCCTTATTTCTCAAAATGTGGCCCACAAATAGTGTTCCAATCAAAAGGTTTTGTCATCAATTATGTTTGAATAATGTGGTGGGGTCGTCTCCTTCCTTCTACCTCAGGCACCCCCTACACTCATCCCCTAGACCACTTCGTCACCTGTAACCCTTCTACTACCTCAGAGCACAAACCCAAGCCCACCACCCTCCAACACCACTCTCTCCATTCTCACCTGGCTGTTCTATTAGGACTTTCAGTCCAATCCAGCAACCTCCTCCTCTCTCCCTGTCCCTCCATATTCCTGCTTAGAGTGCACTATCCTCTACTTCTGCATGCCCTAGCCCATTTCCTAAACTCCCTGGTCTACTGCCTAGTCATTGCATTCATCTGGCAAAAACCCAACCCTGGATGAAGCTCATATCCATTTTCTCTGCATCTGCACTGACAGCAGATTGGTATCACTATAAATTAATAACCACCCACCTAAATGGGCCCTTGCAACTGCCTGCCATTCCTCCTACTGTGTTTCTCTCACCACCTCGCTGTCCCGCTCTCTGCAACAATGAGTTCATTCTCCACCCTCCTCAGCCCTCCAGCCCTTTCCCTTCTCTTTCACTCTCAACAGATTGAAAAAAAAAAAAAAACCCAGAAGCATCCATTGTAGCATCGCATACTACAACCCATAAGCCTACCTAGCTCTGTACCTATTCTGTACTCCTTCCCTTCCAATCCCATGGAGGACCAGGATCTGGCCCTCCTCCTATCTAAAGCCAATCTGGCCACCGGTGCTTTGGACTCTAACCCCTCCTCCCTTCTCAGAAACCTTAAAATGTCAATTACCCCATTTCTTACTTATACATGCAACTTCTCATTCTCAATTGGATCCTTCCCAGTGGGTTTTGTGAATGCTCAAATCTCTCCCATTAAAATATTCTTTGACCTTACATCTCCCTCCAACTATCACTTTCTCTCTCCTCTCCCCTTCAAAGTCAAAAATTTGCCAGGGATGTATTTATGTTCACTCTCTCCATATTTCTTTACACCTCATTTTCTTTTCAACCAGTTCAGTCTCATTTCCACCTCCATTCTTTTATCTTAACAGCTCCTGCTAGGGTTAGCAATGGGGTTAGGAATGATCCCTGTATAACTAAATACACACTCTGTCTTATTTTAAAATGGAATACCATGAGAGTACTATGGTATGAATGTTTGTACGCTCCCTAAATTCATATGTTGAAATCCTAACGCCTATGTGATGGTATTAGGACGTGGTACCTTTGGTGGGTAATTAGCTCATGAGAGTGGAGCCCTCAAGAATGAGAGAACTTGCTTTTTCTTTTCTGCTCTCCAACACGTGAGGATACAAGAAGCCAACCATCTGCAAACCACGAAGTGGGCCTTCACCAGATCTATAGACATGTTGATCTTGGACTTCCCAGACTCCAGAACCATGAGAAATAAATTTCTGTTTAAGCCATGCAGTCTACGGCATTTTGCTATAGCAGCCCGAACTAATATAGTCATTCTCCACATTTCTTTTCCTTTGACCTATATTTACATATATAAAATGTAGCATTATGTCCTGTCAATTATCACCTTTCTTTTAGTTCTTTAAATGTGCAGTGCCCCTTCCTGCAACAGGGTCATCCCCTCTCATGCTGTTCCCTTGCTCTGAAACTGCATCGCCATGACTCCCCTGCCTTAGCAGCTCCATCCCATCTACAGCCTTCATCACAACCATCATTCCCTAAATGCTCTTATACGTAGATGCTGAGGGGAAAAAATCAGTCATGTGTTCCAATTATGCATTTATTTGTGTGATTATTTCATTGATGTCTGATTCCACAAGGCTATAAACTCCACAAGGACAGGGTCACACCTGTTTATTTAGAACCTAACACGGTACCCTTCACACAGTAGGTGCTTAACAAAACGGTGACAAATGGATAAATGGATGGACTAATAAATACTGGTCTAAAAGTTAAACGGATGACTTCTTAGCAGAGCTTCTCAGAATCTTTAACATACTAATGAAAACTAAGGCTATGTTACACTGTGTTTCTTAAGTTTATCTGACCAAAGAATACCTTTAATTCATAGCAACAGTTAACATCTTTGGGCAACAACAGCAATTTAGGAAACCATGTTCAAAATGCAGTAGCAAAGCTCCAATAACAAAACACTTCTACCAAAACATAAATAAAACAATGTGTTCTCAAGATTCCCCACAACACCGGCATATCTGCAAAATCCTGCTAAAAGGATTACATTTTGACTCTTGGCTACCTGTATTGTTTTGAAGGTTACCATATCATACAAGTAGAGAAATTAAAGAAACACGAAAGTGAAGCATGAGAAAGCACTAAGGAAAAAAAGGTAGAAGTTGTATTTGGGTGCTCATTTATACATCCATGGTCTTTATTATAGAAATAGTGTCTTGCTTACCTGAATAAAGTTACCACATTCTCATTAATTGCTACTACATCCTCCTCTGGAAGCATACTCAAAATTGCAGCTTTTATGAACACATACGTTGCCTTGAGGAAAAGAAAAGGAGCTTGTTATAGAACATCCGTAGGTACATGACATTTCTACTTTGCAAACCGGGAATGACCTATAAAACTTCCAGATGTAATAAAAAAAGACATTGAAGAAATCAGAGAAAATGAAGTCTTATATTGCCTGTTCAAAATGAGAACAACGTTTTTCAATTAATTTAGACTATTTTCCTATTATACAGCTATAACATTCATGGGTGAGAAAATGGACAGAACAAACAAGAGATAATTATCTCATTCCTCCCAACTTCTCACAAATAGATCAGAATTAATTATCACAAAAAGCCTGGTCACCAGAGCATTGGGAAGTCTATAAAAAAAATTATCAAGACTATTGATATTTAATAACTATAAGTGAAGTTCATCTTTAGAGGAAAACCTACTTGTTGAAAAGAACTCTTTGGATGGCTTTTCACCAGAGCATTGGGAAGTCTATAAAAAAAATTATCAAGACTATTGATATTTAATAACTTTAAGTGAAGTTCATCTTTAGAGGAAAACCTACTTGTTGAAAAGAACTCTTTGGATGGCTTTTAAAGCATGTTATGCTAAAGATGCACCTATAAATAGTTATTATTTCATGTACATTTTCTCTGTTTGTGGATCTTTAAGTTGAGAAAAGAGTGTCAATATCACACTATTGAACAAACAGTCCGAAATGAAAATCATCCTGGCCACTTATCAGCCAACAGAGCACATTAGTAGAAGAGCTGCACTTTACCTTGGACCATTTACTCTCTTTGCAAAGCAAATCTGAATAGTAATACGCCTGCATCCAGTTTTGTTGAAATATATAAATCCACATTAGTTCCCAGTAACAGAGATGATGGAACTGTTTCCACTCTTCTTGAACTGAAACGCATTTTCGATATGTCTCTTGTGCCTATAAGTCAATTGCATAAAGCTGATCATCCAGATATTAGACAAGGAGATAATAACCTAATGGAAAAATACATAAAACACTTTGTACAAAAAGAACAAAGTTATCACTTATTAAACCACTCGATATGTCCACAGGTTCCTTTCTTTATATACAATAATACAGTTAAGTTCGCTCTCTTTATTGAACATTGTGAGGGGGCCCTGGCACTTTATAATGTGGGAGTGTGGCAAATTCCTTTCCTAGGAAGATTTAAAATGCGTAAGTCCTTTAAGAAAAGCCTGGCAATAATAAAGTTCGAACTTCCACAGGGAAAAATACACCTTAAACAAAGTTACAGGCACTGGATAGACTGAGAGAAAATATCACTACCTACATAACCAGCAAAAGATTTACCCCTTATCATAAAATAAGGGGTATTTTATAAAATCCTTTAAGAAAAAGACAAACAACTCAATGGGCAAATTGGCAAAGATATAAGAGGCAAGTCAGAGAAAAAGACATACAAATGTAAATATACATATGAAGAAACTTGTAAATTAAGCAATATAAATTGAAAAATTAGATTATCGTTTGTCAGCCATCTCACTGAAAAAATTAAAAAGATGAACAATGTCCAGATTTGGCAAAGAGCACTGGAAACCAATATTCTCATATCTTTACAGCAGTTTAAGTTGGAACAACCTTAAGTAAGGAGGGCAATTTGGCTGGATTTATCAAAATGCAAACATCTTTTGACCCAGAAATTCTAACGATCAGAATCTATGTTATATAAATACACCTGTGCACAGACATGTATACACAATAATGGGTATAACAGCACTGTTTGTACTGGCCAAATATCTATCAACAGTGGACCACTTTAATAAGTGTAGTACATCCATCCCATGAAGAAGAGCCCAGCCATAAGAATGAGGGAGACTTAGATATACTGACCTGGAGAGAGATCCAAGATGTATCGTAAATAAAAAAGAAATTTCACAGTGAAGTACAAATGTCTGATCCCATTTGTATGGAAGAAAGTTGCTTGTGAGTGTGTTTACACAAAAGTCGCCTCACTCTTCTGCTTCAGACCCCAACGATCCCTTCTTCACGGGAATGAGTGAATAACTTCCTCTGATGAGGAGCTCACATGTAGTACAGTGGGGTTACGACTCACACAAACTCAATGTGTAACGCAGAAATTGATAATAGTCAAAGTTTCTGAAAATCTCTTAGACAGCCCACCTGTTACTTTGTATATCTACCCTGAATTCCTCGTGTACTTTATGTGTAAATGTAGACTATAGTCTGTAATCTAATATACATATATAATAGAATGTATACACGAATTAAAATTTGGGCTTTTTAATCACATTATGTTTTCTTTATTTTTTCTAGTCCACATAGCTGAATTTACTTATGTTGAAAGAGCATGATACAACTCCACCACACAGACAACTCCCCCAAACAACTCCTCCCCAGTGAATTACCTCTTCAACATTCCCCTTCAGCAGCTCTATTCGGGCATGATAAAACAACATGAGTGAGCCCTACGGAGAAAGGAAGAAAAGACACTCTTCAGCAGTCAATGCTGGTTGATTAATTATGGCTGAAACATACACTTGAAATACTAAGCATACATTTGGAAACTGCTGGAGGAAGGGTGCAAGGAGACTCTCTGCTTCCACGACATTCACTTCTCCTGTACCTAGAAATTTAACAAGAAAAGCCTCAGTCTTCATGAAACATGGGTAATATTCATAACTCTTGATTGCATTAATTTCATTATATATAGCAAAGACCTATTCATGGAAAAGATGAAAACTAGTTTTGGGGGGTTTTTTGTCATTTTTACATCTAGGAAATAAAGACAAGTCTCATCTATGACTTTAGTTTAAGACGACTGCATTAATTTCATTATATATAGCAAAGACCTATTCATGGAAAAGATGAAAACTAGTTTTGGGGTTTTTTTTGTCATTTTTACATCTAGGAAATAAAGACAAGTCTCATCTATGACTTTAGTTTAAGAAAACTGTAGGATAGACAAATTCTTAAGAATGGAGGTGGCTGTATTAGCTTCCTAATTCAAATTTCTGGTTTTAATAGCAATATTAACTTATTTTAACCAAAAATTTAATTTTCTGCAAAAGTGAAATATAAATATGCTAACATAGATCAATGTCTTAATATAGAAATTTTAGCTGAGAACAGATGAAAAATATTCAATGAAAGAAACCACTCTGTTCCCTCTGCCAAATGTCATTATGACAAATATCACTATTTTCCATCCTTACTCAAAAAGAATAAATAAACATTTATGGACTACCAGATCTTAGTGATTTTTCTAAATTTTCACATATTCGGATTAAAGATAACCAGTTTTCAATAAAGCTTAACGTAATGCAGACCTTACCGAGTATTAGGGAGATGTAAGTATGAAAAGATAGGATGGTTAAGCAGCAGAGTGGAGACCTAATGCTTCTTCCTGATGTGCCTTCCCGTAACTGCAGCAGACCCAGCTCCTGTGGGAATTAAATGTGTTTTAGAAAGAGAAGAGCACGATTGAAAAATTATACTCAGAAACCTCAACATGTAGTCCATATATCCCCACCCTCTATGAAGGTGGGTTTTATTTTTTAAGAGCTTAGAATGGTGGTAATACCTAACTAGAAACAAACTTTACATTTTAAACTGGCATATGACAATCTCACAAATCCTTTTATATCATGTGATTCTAGGGAAAGAAAAAGGCAATGCTCATTTCATAGAAACGCTGCATTTCTCTGATAAAAATACTAATTAGTTAAAACATATTGAGGATCTAAGTGCACAGCACTGTGATGGGTATGAGCAAATATGGTTCTGTCTTCAAAGATCCTTGCATCAGATAGGAATTACAGTACTTGAGCACATGATTTTATCAGAATAGGACTAGTGCCATAAGAAAGATGAACAAATGATTCTGAAAGGCAGGACTAGCCGAGCCTCTCCGGGCAGTATACGGGAAAGCTTCGAGGAACAGATGAGATTCATCTCAAACCTAGTGAGTGAAGAGGCTCTTGGGAGAACATTACTTGGGAGGAAGCTGGTTGGGGACGATATCCACAACAGAGACCAGCAGAGGCATGGAAACAGGGAAGCACAAGGCCTGTGTGAGGAACAACGTTCCCCAGGGTAACAGGAGGACTGGGAAAGCAGAAAGCGAAAAGCAAGGGATGGAAGGTTGGAAACACTGGCTGGCAACAGAACATGGGGCCCCTGAGGCCATGCTACGGTTCGCTTGTTATTCAAGAGGCACTTTGGAGCCCTGAAGGAATAAGGTGGAAGAAGGATGGCTAAGGAGAAGAGTTGACCATGAAGTCCAGAGCCAGAACAGACAGAACATATCACAATAGGATAAGTCTGCAACAACTTCTGAGGAACATGGACAGTGGAAAAAGAGGAAAAAAATATAGCTTCTTGTACCTGTTTTTTACATATTTCTCAAAATCTTTCCCTTGACTATCAGAGAAAGCCTTTGCCCTGAGGCAACTCTTATAATTGCATATTGAGTGTTAGGATTAATAAATGTTATATGCTCTCTACAAAGCAACCACTACAGAGATTTAATGAATAAAACTCAGGGAAAACAAATTTCCTCACTTAGTTTCACAGTGAAAATACACAGAAACCCAAAATACTGCAATTATGTTTGATCCATGCTACTTGATCCATTAGGGTCATAAAATGTTAGACAGAAATTTATCCTTATTTCTTCATTTTACAGAAGACAACTCTGGGGTCACTAAAATGTTAAGGAAGCATACTTTAGCCACACAAGAATAATAAAGATCCAGTAAGCAGCAATCTTAGCAAAATGTAACTTTTAATCCCAGAATTTAGGTAACAAAGGTGAAAAATTTGAACTTTCAATAGAAAAACCATGTCTAACGCCTTAAAAATATGATCGAGGGCCAATGGCTCTTTATCGTCCTGCAAACTAGTTGCCAATAATTATGCTAGTTATCAGGACATGTTGTATTGTCCTCATATTCAATAAACAATGTTTATCTTCCCTGTCAAAAGTAAGATAAAATTAAATTTGTACCCTGTTTCCAGAAAATCCAATAAATTCTAGTAGTCTGATAATCCTTGCTGGTAAAAGGGATAGCATCTGTAAGAAGAAAAAAAAAAAAGTATACTTATAGATTAGCACACCTAACTATAGACAAATATTAAACTCCAAAGAACTTAAAGTTTTAATGCTTCATAATATGAAAAATTAGAACAAAGTTTAAAACTACTAGATATGTCTTAATTATCACATACTGTAATGATTACTTATGAATTAATCGCATTTTGCTAAGACAATGAAATGAACCTAAAAAAATTTGAAAAAAGAAAAAAAAGCCTGGCCTCTCTCGGTGTCTCTAAAGAGTACTGGCTCAGCTCCTTTTACATGAAATGACACAGTGCTGAGAAGGCAATCCCTCGGTGCCCGCCTCCAGACAAGGCTTCTTATAGCTTCCTTCCCAGGAAAGCAAAAACATGTTGATTTGATGTGACAGCAGGCACCAGCTGGAGGTGGACAGCTGCAGCACTACAGCTCCTTTCCAGGCCATCCCTGAGGGACAGTGGTGAAGGGAATTCTCCCAGTGGGCACAACTTTGGGCAGTGCACCTGGTTGTGCACTTTGCTTGAAGGAGGAAATAGCCATATGTGTGATCATATACCGATTCACGGGCTGTGCTTGGCTAGAAGGTCAGGGACTTGGCAGGAACATGGACTGGAAAATTGGTGACCAGGACATCTGGGGAAGAGGTATGTAGATAGATATCTCCGAATGGGAAATGTGAAGAAAATGTGAAGATATTTGTGTCCCATGTGAATGTTCACGAAAGAGTGACCTCAGTAGAGGAAGGTTTTAATGATCAAGTGGATAGGATGACTCATTATGTGGTGAATGGGAAATGTGAAGAAAATGTGAAGATATTTGTGTCCCATGTGAATGTTCACGGAAGAGTGACCTCAGTAGAGGAAGGTTTTAATGATCAAGTGGATAGGATGACTCATTATGTGGATGCCAGGCAGCCTCTTTCCCTCATCACCAACTCATCACCCAATGGGCTCCTGAACCAAGCAGCCATGGTGGCACAGGCACTCATCTATACAATTCTCTTTACCACTTTATTTTCCCAACAGTTCCAATCAAACCTTAATAAAATTTCAAAATCTCTAAATAACATACTGAAATTTGACACATCTTCTCAGATGCTTTATCTCCCCAGAAACCATCAAAAATCATTCCTTAAGTTATAATTGCTCCCTCACCTATTTTCAATTCCAGAGCCGCCATTGTTTTTACTTATATTTCAGACACTGAAATGGAACTGGATTCCAAGCTCCTTGTTATCAAAATCCTTCACAGTCCATTCAGAGTGCTACATGTTTCCCTTACGTTGTACAATCCAAAGCTACTCTCTGAGTGTGGGCCGAAGTTTACAACACACACTGGCCAAAGCTCCCACTGGCTCACAGCACAGGAAAACAGGTCCCACTCTAGCCATTTATTAATCCAACCCAGGTAGAGGTTCAGGATGAGGTTCGAATGCAATAGAGAAGGCACTGAAAACCTTAGGTTCTTCTACAAAAGCTTCTGGTTTCTATATACTTATTTCCTTACCAAATTAAAGGCCCCTGTTCCGAGCTTGGCACCTCCTTCAAAGTCATAGAAGAATTCCTGCTCATGTTTATTCTTCTGAATTACATGCAGGATAGAAAGACATTCTCTGGATTGAAGGGAAAAAGTTACAGTGTAAGATTACCATGATTCCGAAAATAAATATTATATCAAATTTCACACTCACACACCATAAAATAAACATGATTAGCTGAAATATTACAGAATTTTAAAATAAATGATACTGTGCTTAGTTTACTCTTAAGGCAACGGGGTAACA